CGATCGGTTAGCGGTACCTGAAAAATCAATAGAATACACGGTTTCAACAGACTGGACACCAGTTCATGATACACCATAGGTTTTCAGCGATTAAAATTGTCACGCGGAATGATTCATCATGTGAATTTCATGCCTCTGAAAAGCACACACGAAACCCCAATAAATTTGTACCTTTGTACAATTTTAATCTATTATATGATCTCACGTGAGTTTCGTTCATTCTACGTTAGTTATCGAACAATTAATATTCACATAATTTCTATTCGATCAATTATCACTCTTATTTTTACATAAGTTAGTAAGAGAAATTTATACGAGAAAAAATGTATATCACGATATAGCTATATCGTGTCATTTTATTAAATTTAAAACAAAAAACTTATCTCCAGATCTTATAAAATTCTGCAAGGAAAGAGAAGATACGATATAATGGAAAATTTTATGGATTTTTTCCATAAAATGCAACCTTTGATCCTCGATATCTTATAATATCTTGAAATAAAAAAAAATTGTTTTCAAAAAAAAAAAGTATGATGTAGATATTTACACCCTCATAACGTGTATTGGATATTTTGGAAATACTTAGGAAAAGATGAATTAAATTAAAGTAAAAAGGCGGTTTATTATAGCGACATCAATTTTAGATCATCATGATACTCCAACGTTTATGCTATACATATATATCGTGTTCAAACCACTTTCGATAATGATCTTTTATAATATCTATAGTGCAATTTATAAAAGGATATTCTCTTATAACATTACATCATTGCTTTCTATCTACTGTCAGTGATTCAAAAATATAAAATTATCTATGATATTTGATATATATTTTTTTTATAACATTTAATAAAAAAACAATACATCGCCTCGTCCTATCCATCGTCAGTAATTTAAAGATATTTAACATTTTCTACAATATGTAATGAAAGCCAATATATCGATGTGCCATCTTTTTCTTATCCACTATTATTAATTTAGAGATATGAAATTTTCTATAATATCTAATAAAAACCAACATATCGCCTTGATTCTATCTACTAACAGTGATTTAGAAAATAGGAAATTTTCTATAATGCATCACAATAAATATAAATTATTTCTATAATAATTGCAACGAATTTTTCCAATTAGCATTATTAAATTGTCTAATCCTCTCTATCATCTCATCGTTATCATCGAGCAACGATATAAATTTTTCGCATCGAACACGAGAAGAGATAAATATTTGATACTCGCCCTTTTCCATATACGCGAAATGCAGCCCTGTTAAATGCATTTCTAATTTAAACGGTAAAGATCCTTCGGTGAGATGCCAAGAGAGATGTGAAGTGCATTTGAAAAGAAATATCTTAAGCATCGTGTTGCACCTCACGTACTTACAATCTTCTCTGCTATTAGAAGGTTGTTAGCGCACAACGAATCAACGATACTTGATGAATTAACTCTCGAGGAACGATCTACGTAAGGGAATAACGTATCACGTATCGCGAAATTATTAGAAAACTTTTAACGATAAAACGGGTAAAATTTCGCGTATAAATTTAATAAATTGCAAATTATAAAATTGTACAAGTTATTCTACGAATATAGCTGCGTGTAATTATAATATTAGTGAAAAAATTATTCGTATCATGCAAAATACGAAGAATTTTATTTTATTCGAAAATTTTATTGGAAATTTGTATGTGCATAGGGTATAATGGATTGTATTGAGTATAGAGCAATTTCATGTGGGGATAGAGCACTAAAAACTAAAACTATTTTTAAAACGAAAAATTTTGAATTTCATTTTTTTAAAGTGATACTCTGCTAAAAAAAATTGTCACACATAAATATACATCTATAATGTATTATGTTCTTACGAAGTTTTATTAAAAATTTTTTTCCGTTTCTTGAATTATTCTGATAATTTTATTCGTTAAATCTTAATAAAAGTTCTTTAACGAAGTTAAATATCGATTGGACAGGACAAAATTAACTGCAGGATGACGTTTAGCTTCAAGTTCAAACTCCGATGAAACGACATTTCATATACACCAACCTAATATACATAGGACAATGGCCCCTTAGTCCCCTTCTTGGAAGGATTCTCCTTGAGACTTTGCACACTTATTCCATCCATCCTTTCACTTTTCAAAACTGCTTATCGTCAACTGCCTCTTCACTTCTTTAAAATTTACTAAAATTTCTTTCATATTGTGCAACGAATCGAATTAATTATCCCTTATTTTTACTTGACTTTCAGTCGTCAATTTGATATAAGAATGAATGCCAATTTGCTTCATAGTGTTATTAGTGCCTCGTATTTCTATAAATTAATTGAAAAGATTTATAAAAGTATTTGATTATATCTAAATTCGATAAAATAAATTGTATGCATTTTGGTTAAGTATATGAATCTTCTTTCAAATCTGAATATTTTATTTTCGAATGAGAATGAGTCGATAGATATACGTAGATACTACTAATTGTATTCATAAAAAAATAAGGACGACAATGGAAATCAAATTGGCGGATGTTGAGTCATTACGTTTGAATCATCGTGCTTTCTTAGTCTTTCTACTCTTCTAATGTGATTTCCTTGCATTTTGTTCGAATCTATGATATTTATGAAAAATTCAAACACATTTTCAACAACAAACAATAAATACACATAATATTACAACAATATTTTTACCCATTTTTTATACATCTTTTTATATTCATTTAATTCGATAAAATTTATTTTATTTTGATTAATTAATACCATATATTAAAAAGAATTGTTGATCTTTATTTCCGTATTTATAAAATAATAAAAATTTTTAAGAATCAGAATCTAGATCTTTCACCATTTGTAAGAAAATTTTTCGAATTTCATTTTAGAAAATGAAATTTTCCTTTTGTAAGTATTTACCGTAAGAAGATAAAAATTGATGAAATATAAGAAAAGAAATAATAATAAATATCGAGAAAGAAAAGAATTTCTTTTTATCTTACATAAGAAATATCATTTCATAACAATTTAAATGTAAATATTTCTTAAAAACGCAATCGATGAAATAAAAACGATTTCATGTATTTAACCACAAAATAAAATTAAATCCAGGAGAAATAGATATATTTAGCATATATATATACGTTCAAATACTGTTGAAAATCAATTCGATACGATAATTGTTCGCGAAAATTAACAAAATACATGGAACTCGATTTCCCCATCATTGAAGGATTAACAATATATTTCAAGCTCATAGAAATCAATGTAAATAACAAGTTTATCGTATCATATCTCGTGTTTAATATTTTTCAATATCTACTTACATTAGCCTCTTTCAATTAAATCAATTAATATATAAATTAATCGATTCTTGATAAATTCAGTTTCCATGAAATACGTTTTGATGATATTAAAATTTTAAAAATGTTTTATCGATCAAACAATGAAGTCTATCCGTAGAAAAAATTGAGTCTTCTGGTTAATTTTATTTTCAAATCTTTTCCAGCTAATCATGATTGAGAGTATTTATAATCCCACAGAAATTCCAAATTCTAGTATTATTATAGTAATATTTAATATAGTATTTGCTATTTTTTTTTTTTTAAATACAAGTTACTCATTCTTGTATCTTTATTTACTTATCAAGAATATGATTTCCAATTGTCTGCTTTTATCCCATATATCTTATAAAGCTTCAATATTTCAATGATATTGAAATCGCCATCTTGTTTGAGGTTTCGTACAAACGCATTCGATTCGTTTCATTCACGAACGAACGAATTGAAAACTAGAATGAAATAATAAACACGTCCGCGAACCTGTTTCATATCGACATTCACAATTACTTATCCCTTTGACAGTACTATTATCACCAATTGATATAAACGAATAAACCTTGATCACGAGTTAGTCACAATGCAAAATGAGTACGAGTTTTTCTCATAATTCTTTTTTTCTTAATTCCTTTTCGTCTTTCATCACGTAAATCTAGTAGTAAATTGTTCGTTTTTCTCTCGAGTTCGCCTGTAAAAAAAAAATTTTTTAACCGTTAATTATGATGTTTTTTGCTCGGTATTGCAACAATACAGCATTCAGGTTCCACGCTTCATTTCCCACACATGATTCCTTCCACTTGAAATTCACATAATACATTCATTTTTCCCGTTCATCGCACTTCCATAAGAAATTTCTTTCTTGGCAACAAGAATTTAGATTGTTATCTGATTATATTGTGGTAAATTCAAATTAATGCTAAATTCATTCCTCGTTCGTTCGATATTCTTTTCAGAGCACGCAAACTGCAAAGAACCGTTGTTTAATCGGCTAACTGTTTCCTGAACTTTATGCTCGGCACAGTGTAAAATATGGCAATTTTGCAATTTTGAAATAACATATGAACTTTTATAAAATAATTTATACCGTTAAATACAAATTCTTAATATATTGGAAAGTTGTAAAGTGATAAAGGTATTTCGTATACGAGAAAAAATCATTTAACTCAAAAATTCTGATTTTAGAGAAAATAGTGTGCCCAAAATATTGAACATAGTGAGTTATACATGAAGTAATTTATTTTTTACCGGAATATTCCCATCCTTTAAGGGAGCGAAATCGATATTCGAAAATTTCGCAACTTTTTCATATTTTGTCATGAAATTTTATCTGAATTATTTTTTTTTTTTTTTTTACTAACAGAAAAAAATTGGAAAATTTTGTTAAATTTAAAGTTCGCACCATTGAAAAGTTACATTTTATGGATTTTATTTTATTTAGAAAAGAGGGGAGGGGAAAGGAGATAGAGAAGAGGAAATGTTATGAGTGTAATATTTTTAAAATCTTCAACATCCTTTAAAAATTTCAACATCCGATTAAAAATGATTGAATCATATTTGATAAATGCTTCAAGACGATACGTAATAGATAATAGATAAATTTTTAATAATAGAAAGATAGAAAGAAAATATTGCAATAATGATACATTTTAGATAACGTGAATTGATTACATTTGAAAAATATCGATTTTAGTATATAAAGATCCGAATTAAAAGCTCGTCACATATGTGTCAAGCTTGTCAAGCTTGTAACAATCGTAATTAAAATCTCGAAGATGAGACAGGTAATGCTTCTTTTATTTTTACCTATTTTTGTATCATACTTAACATTTATTCAATTATTTAAAAGAAAATAAATTTTTCATAGATAAAATTCCATTCATAATCTGATTTTTATATTAAAATTATTTAAAAACGAATTAGCAACACCTCTTTCGTTTCAAGAAACGAATTTCTCTGAATTTTTAAAACATTCCTCTTTTTAAATTTCAATCAACAATCCTTAGAAATTTGTTTATTTTCAGATATTGAGAGCAGGATTTTTGATCACTTTTCTGGCGTACGCCGTCACAAACATCGTTGCCGACAGTGAGTATCGAAAAAATTATAATTACCAAATAAAAAATAATAAACCGGTTTAACTCATAATAATTTATTCAACTGCTTGCGAGTAACGAGTATATTATAATTTTTTTTACGATTGAATCTTGGTGCTGCAAAAACTCGCCACTGTAAAAATATATAAACGAGCTACAATTTCATTAAAAAAAAAATACACTTGCCCAGTTTTTGCATTACATCTTCTCGACTAAAAATCTTGCGCGTTCCATTCGACGTAAATAATTAAGCAAATAAAATAATAATAATCGCATTAAAAACACAATAACTTTTCCATCATTCAGACAAGATCGTCTGCTACTATGGCAGCTGGTCCACTTATCGTCCCGGTGCCGGTCAATTCAATCCCACCGACATAGATCCAACACTGTGCACCCATATCGTGTACACGTTCATCGGTATTTCTACGGATGGCAGCGTTCGCGTATTAGACGCCTGGAACGATCTTCCAGGCGGCAAGAACGGTTTTGGAAAATTCATCAGCCTTCAAAAATTGAATCCAAACGTTACAACATTGGTGGGAATGGGCGGTTGGAACGAGGGATCGTACAAATATTCCCAGGTTGCCGCCAATCCTACTGTCCGTGCAAAATTCGTCAATAACATGGTTGCATTCCTGAAAATGTACAATTTCAACGGTCTGGACCTGGACTGGTCGTATCCAAACCAGCGTGGGGGCGTTTTTGCCGACAGAGAGAATTACATCTTGTTGCTGAAGGAATTGAGGCAAGAGTTCGATAAAAATGGTTACAACCTGAGCGTGACGGTTTCCGCTCCTGAATATTCGGCCTCTCAATCCTACATTATTCCGGAAGTGTCGAAATACGTCGATTTCATTAGTCTAATGACGTACGATTTGCACGGAACATGGGAGAATGCCGCGCTACTTCACTCTGGCCTTTACCCTTCGGGCAAGGATACCAATATTCGACTTGACTCTAACGTGGTAAGTTCTAATAATTAAAACGAATAATTACGTTTTAATTTTCGAATATTTGGAAATACAAATTTTTAGAGATATTCCTTCGGAGATCGTATACATTTAAACATTTGTTGATGAGAACGACGATCTTTTGAAATGTGTTAATTATGCAGTATTGCGTGTAAGTCTGGCTTCAAGGTTAAAGAATAACACAGTATAAAGCTTAAGTTTACGAATAGTTTAACCTCAAACCTTAAAAATTTTCAAATTTCATAGACTTAGGTATTGTTGTTCGATATTCCTCGGCTTTTAAGATTAAATCTTGATCTATATACACGTGTTGAGATGCATACCTTTGGAGGATCGATTTCAGAAAAAGAAAATTTTTTTCAATTTAAATATGTTTGATGACACGAGTATATATACAAGATATTCAATTTCTCTTGGGATAGAAACTACAATAGATTCTATGGACTTTCAGAACAATTATATTAACCATTTAATCTTTTAAACATTTGACTAACTAAGGTTGTGTGAATGAACTAGAGATTTCATATTAAAGTATATTAAAGTATGGTAAAAAAACGATATATTCACATAAACGATTTTTCAACTTTGAAAAATAGATTTATTTATAATCGATATTAAAATATTGCTGATATATTAAATTCGTAAACATGGAATTGATTTACAGGATTGGTGCGTCAAATATTGGCTCACGCAAGGCGCGCCAGCTGACAAGATCATTCTAGGTATCCCAGCCTACGGTAGATCGTTCACCTTGTCGAATTTGACGAACAACCAACCGGGTGCTCCAATCCTGGGTGCTGGAATCGCTGGTCCTTACACGCAAGAAAGTGGTACACTTGGTTACAGCGAAATCTGCCAGTACATTAAAGCAGGATGGACTGTGGAACGGGATTCTAAACAACGGGTACCTTATGCTTACAAAAGCAACCAATGGGTTGGATACGATGATGTCACGTGAGCATTTATTTTACAAATACACTGTAAAATTAATTAGTTAGAAATATGGGCAGGCAATATGGAAAATATTTACCATTTCAGATCCGTCGAAGAGAAAGTGAATTATGCCAAGTCTAAGGGTTTAGCTGGTGTAATGCTATGGGGCATCGAGAACGACGACTTCAAGGCTTTCTGTGGTGAAAAGTATCCACTTTTGAACGCGATAAACAAGGTATATAAACAAAGCTAGAGTGTAAACTGTTGTTAACGATTTTTAATATTGGTATGATTTAGAATAATATTGTTATACAAATGTATAAAGAAAAATAAAAGAATATTTATTTTATTTTCTTTTTCATCGGTGATTTCCTAAGTTTTTTTTAAAACCCTGAATAAATTGAAAATAATAAAACGAAAGTATAGCACATATAATTTCCATTTTCTATAAGAATACTTGTTAATTCTTGAAACACTAGTTATCAAATTGTCCACGATTATATTGGTATTAATTTGTTTAAATATATATTTTTTATTTTATACACAACAATTTTTGATCGCATTATTAAGCTGTACATGTTTAAATTAATGTCTTGACTTTTCGAGAAATTTCACGAGAAAATACAATTGCTCGTGTTATTTGATGCAAATATAATTTTGACTAACAATTGATAATTATGTTATACAAAATTTCGATTGCAAATTTGTTAGAGAGTCTCGTGCAATTTTAAATCTTCTAAAGAAGATTAAAAGTTAGAGTGATAAATTCTACAAGTCATATAAGGCAAGGAAAATGCTTACTAAGAACTGAGATAAGGATGATTTATTAGTCAGATAGATTTATTATTCAGAAAGACGGTGCGCTATACAATAAAAAGAACTGAAGAACATTTTTCATTTCCGATTTATTTTGATTATAAGGGCCGCCCGACAACATTATACATTATATTTTGAGGGAAATCTTGTATATTGAAATTTTTAAGTCTAAAAGGGAGAAAAGAGGACAGACGTCATTGACTGATAAAGGAGCGTAGGAAGGATAAAATAATTTCCGGAACATCGGAACACGATGGTGGAGGATCTCGATGGGAAGAGTCGACCGAGCGTTCCTAATCGAAATCCGGAACGAGAGAGAACAATTATTGATGCAGACTAATTTCACTGTACCGTCGAACAGCAAGAACGAAGAAAATAAGATTTTTCTCTGAGAAAAGTAACCGTTTTTATTTTAATTATTTTTTTCTAATACTATTATTATTAACTTGAAATATGCTATGAAATCTCGAAACTTGATTAATTTGATTTGACAACGAGATATCGATCGATTTCTTAAAAATAGAAAATTGAAGCTTTGAGTTAAATATTTATGCAATTTAAAAATTAGATCATCGAAAATATTAGGAATAAAACAGTTGATCGAGTTTTATTGCAATTTAAATTTGACATATTCAAGTATATTTATCGTTTCAAGAAGTTAATTTTGTAATTAATTTTGCAAGTTATAAAAGTAAACTCAAATTTTAAATATCTTTAATAACGTAATTCCGTAAAGTGAGTTTATAAATTAATTTATTAATTAATAAATAGTTAATTTTTTATTATTTCATGGATAAAAAAAAATATAGTAATCATCCGTATGTTTTAATAAGATAATATGTGATTCATATTTCTTGTGTTATTCTTTGTGTTATTATTTAAAAATCATAAAAATCAGTTTCTTTGATATGATTATAGATATCTTATAAAAATTATTTGTTTTGATGAAAATTTTCAATAAATAATATTTTATTTTTGTATTTCATTACCATCTGTAACAAGATTATTTCTATTATCTTCAATAACATTTTTGCAATTTAATAGACGTAGTAATATCGAGAAACTATGAACACACGATAATGTATTTTTTATTATAGCTATATAATCACGTTATAAGAAAAGATAAAATATTTATTAAATTATTAATAATTTCAATAAAATTTATTGTATTCGACGATTAATTTGAAATATCGAATTTTTTTAAATAATTTTTTATATATACAGATAGCTATATTATATATACTATAAAATATCCCAACATTAATAACAATTTTATTATAAGAAACGATAGAGAAAGAGATAAAATCGTCTCACTTCATCCAATGCAAACCTATAAATCACTTATAACTTAATAAATTAAGCCTATAAAGTCATATATTTTTACATATTTACTTTTATGTTTGTTTTGATTTCTAAAACCAACTATTTCAAGGTGTTCCACGAATACATTAACACCTTCTATTACACCATTAAAAGCATAAATTTGTATAGGATTCGAAAACTAAGCCTGATCAGCATACGTTACACGTAACACGTATAGGAACACGTAATTATAGAAAAAAGTTGTTTAAAATGTTGCCCTCGACAACATATTTCAAGAACATTGAATTCGACCAAGGCAACTGTTTTATGAATATAATTATCTCATATTTTTAACATTTAACGCCTAATTTAATATTCGTTATGAGATACGAGATACGAAGAAATAAATTTATATGATAAAAATACTATTTTTGTATTTTCTATAAATATATCTTAATAAATTTGCGAACCGAATTTCAAATATACTTTACTTTCGTCGACTGATCGACGACTACTACAGTGAAAACAGTGAGAACGTATTTATAACGTTTTCAACCATCACCGTATATAAACATAAGATTATCGCCGCAAAGAGAGAGGTAACACAAATTTTGAATTTACTGTCTTTACGTAACAATTGAAAAGGAGGATCATTCTTCGACACGATTTGAACATCGAAACACTTCGGTTAATACAGAAAAACGAATATTTTTCTTTGTAATTTAAAATTAATACATATGAAGTTAAATACGATGACGAACATGATGGATTTTCATACTTCGTTCTTTTATATGCTTAACACTGAAGCGAGTGAAGATAAGTTGCACGAATATATGAACGATTTTTTTATGGATCCTCCTGTAGTCTCTAAGAAACAAAAATGTGGAAAAAGTCAATTAATGGATCTTATGGTAAGTTTAATCAAATTTTTATTATTATGTTTCTTATATATTTACATTTTTTCCCCTTATATTTATATATAAGACATTTAATTTATTTAAACATTTTGAAACGATCGTATATCTGTTATAAATTTAACAAAAGTCTGTCAACATTGAGAAAATTTTCAAAAAACTCTTCAAATTTTTATTTTCATTTTATTCATAATGTTATACAATCGATTATTCCTTGTTGAAAGAAACGGTTAATATAAAACATAATAAATTATTCAAAAAATAATGGAATAAAAAATAACGAAAAAATATTAATAATATTTGTGTTTTATTTTAAAAGTGCAGGGAGAAATCAAAATGGTGGAAGGGAGATACAACGAAACAGTTGATATCTGTACGCAAGGTTTGCAACAGAGTCTTCCATTCAGTGCACAATCCGCCATTTTGTACTTCATTCGAGCCGAAGCTCTGGAAAGTCTTCAGATGTACGAGGAGAGTTTGTTAGATATCGATAGAGCGATAGAAATTTCTGTCAGCAGAACGTTAACGGATATGTTGCAAAAAAAGAGGATTGACATATTAAAGGAGGTCGCTTCTTTCGAGCCGAAAAAATTGCGAGATAGATGCCATTTCGAGAATATACCACAACTCTCAAACAATCATCACAAATATCAATCAGGTTTGAGCGATGCGATCGACTTGATTCACAACGGGCGATACTTTGTCGCGGTAAAGCCGATCAAGATGAAAGACGTTATCCTAATCGACAAGTCGCAAATTACCCATCTTCACAAAGATGATTGGGACGATGATCCTACGAGTAATATGTGCCATTATTGTTTCAAATACTGTAGAGCGTTGATTCCATGCGATTATTGTTACCATGCGCTATACTGTTCGAAAGAATGTCGCAGCAAGGCGTATCACGACTATCATCAAATCTATTGCCGATATGGAAATTTGGATAACAAGTCTTCGTTCGTGCTTAAATTGCTGCTGAAAATTACGGATAACGGCACGAGATTGAAAGAAGCTATTGAGTATCACAAAGAACTGGAAAATATGAGCGAAGGTGATTTAATAATTATATTAAATTTATTAAGTGATAGTTTCGATAAAAAAATATTCAATGACGTGATCTACATATTATTTACTTTTGATTTGTTTATTTATATTGCTTGTAAAATTTCACTCGTTTTTCAATTTTATTTTATTTGCACATTTGCACGTGTATCGAGTTGTTTATAATTGAATTGTTTATATCGATTAATTTTAATTAATCAATGGTAAATTTTTACTTGTTTATATTTTTATATCGTATTGTTTTTGGAAAGAAATGGAGAGAAAGGTTTATAATCTGAAAGGAATGAAAGAAAACAATTTAAGGTGTATTCTTAATTTGAGCATTCCTATGAAGAAGGACGACAACAGGACTGAAGATAATTTATTTTATTCGGCCAAGATAGCTATGCTGCTTCGAAATCATAGTAATTATATGCAAGGAAACAACGATATTTTAAATCTAACTAAATTACTCTGTCGTTTATGCTATATTTACGACGTGCATGCACGTATGGTAAGTACTTATTAATTTGTGCATTATATTTATTTCAAAGTATTAAAATTTTATAATTTTATAGATTTAAGTCAGCCTAGGTGCATATTATCGTTAATCACAAGTTTGATACAAAAGATTTTCTTCAAAATCTTTTTTTCTTTATCTTACTTTAGAATAATAATATAACGTACAAAATAACATTTTTAATCGTACATTTTAACAGATAATTATAATTAAAATTTTTTTAGATAGAGTTGAAAATTATACGCGATTTTCAATATTCTAATACATAGTTAATTTCAAATTTCCCCATGATCTTAAAATAATATCGTTATATAAAATCTTCATTTTGATAAAAAAAAAATTTTTATTTATATATATTTACAGGACTTTGTACCAATTTTCGAAAGATATATCGCCCTAGTACAAAATTTGTACTTCTTGCTTAACCTGGTCCGCCATTCCTGTTCCGGGAATACAATATATACCGTGCATAAAAACAATGTGCTCGTTCTACGAGCGGCTAAAGATATATATCCAGGCGAGCTGGTAATGAATTTTGATTTTTTTCTTTTTTCTTCTCCATTAAATTTTGAATTAAATTTTTTATTCATTACTCGAACGAATCTTTCCCTTCATTTTGCAGATCACCTTTAACTTCATGTCCAAATACGTCGCATTGGAGTCCAATTCTATGCCTCGAAGCATCATGCTGAAA